ACTTAGCGTACCTTATTTTGCAAAAGTATAAATAATTCAACGCGTAGGTTTTGTTATTCGATTACGCTCAGTAGCGCACAGTGCGCTTAATGACTTCGCGCACATATATACGTATGTACGAAGAGAAAAGCAAATTTTATTTCGGTTCATAAAATATATATACTTCACGATAGAGAGAGAGAGAGTTTGCGCGCACGTCTTCATGAATATTGCATCATCTTCCATGCAAATTATAATTATGCATCTGGTGTGTTTGCAGTACGCTGAACGGTCAATCAACAGACTATCCCCCGTCAAATTCCAGGTCGCTGCGGCTTAATAGCTTTGGAAGGCATTGTCAGTGTGAGATCTTTCGCTAGCCCGACTCACTTTGCCGTAGCTTCCCGGATTAATTTTTTAAAACACCGGCAAGTTATGTATTTGTCTTCTTTTGTTTTACCTACGCTCGCGCATATTTTTGGGATGGCTGAACCGATTAGAAAGAGTAGACTTTGTTAAAATTTGATGGTGTACCGAGAGAACGTACAGCACACATATGAATATATAAAACATGTATTTTTTCGTTTTAATTTACTGATAACGTTCATACAGCCGTTAAGGTAATAAAAGTAGAAAACAAGTAAAAATAAACAACGTAGAAAAAAAGTAAAAACTAAAATCAAGATTCGAAATAAAGTATAAGTTATAAACAGACTCATTTTAACCTGAGAAAAACGTGCCATCTCCCTCGCTAATTTGACTTTATTTTACGCTTCGTTCTCATTAGTCTGAAAAAAATCCGCATCCACTTGACTAAGACAGAAAAAAGAAAGAGAAAAAAGTTTTGCATCTACCGCGACAAAATTGGCAAATTCCTAGCCTAATATTATATGTCTCCACACAAGACTAAAAGTGGAATGAGAAGCAGAAAAAGTAAGCTTAATGGATGGCGCTTGAAGCAAGCTCATAATTAACGTCATCTACTGTGGTGGAATGAACGAGTCGTCGTCGTCGTCGTCGCGTCGCGAAGACAAGTGGCGAAAATTATAAAAAAAGGCCGTAGTTTGCGGGAAAGTAAAAGCTGAATGAGCTCTGCCTATTATTCTCCAAGCTTAATATGGCTCTTAATTTCCTTCCGAGTTCACTTTATGAACGTATTTGATAAAAGACACGAGTTTACAGCTTCTCGTTGAAAGCTAACAATGGAAGTTTAAAAATGTACGCTTTTCACGATTGGAATTTACTTCAGCCTCAATTCGATGATCATTTTCGTTAGAAATGTTTCCTTAGCAGGTAGAATAATAAAAATTCGAAATGGTAATGAACTTTGTGAGGTGCGTTTGCTGTGAAAACGTATTGAGATGCATCAAGGAAACCATACTGATTCGATATGCACACACATGTACACGCGTATAAAAAGCAAACGTTAGCCGTTGAGTACAATATTCCATACTTGCACAATCGAGTCTTTATATTGCTTGAACTTCGGAAACATATAGTTCATAAGGTAATATATAGTTCAGGGTAACGATCGTATTTTGAAGGATCTACATTAATATTTAACTGCAAATTTCAATTAATCATCCCAGAGTAATTCCATCTTTCCAATTGATATGCATTACTCATGTAGATTATCCATCGGTTTTCGATTTCCCTTTTTCCTTCATTGTTATATCTCGATAAGTTAAATTTCCTAGTCCGATAAAAACGCAAAAATCTAATTTACTCTGCTCTCAATTTTATTTAGCTTTCGTCAAGGAATTCTTTAGGCTGATTTTCGATAGAAATCAAGAAAAATTAAACGGCGAGCGCGCCGAGGTATGCCGCGAAAACTTCAATACTTCAGGCGGTTGTGAGTTTTCATTTGATTTATTGGACTCTACGGTGGTATTTAGATGAACATTCACGACGTAATTACTCGCTTGCTCTCTCTTGCTTCTCTGTGCTTGGGAACGTATTCCTTTAACAGAGTGAAGATGAGAGGGAAATGTTCGCTTTCGGGGTCCAAACAGAAACATGTCCGGTCTTTGACATATTATTCCACCTCCGAGCTTTAGGGTGATTCTTTGTAATTGCAGCGTCCTACAGTTTCTGAATGACTACTATTTGAATGGAAAAGAGGCTCTGTTCGTACTCGTCATTTTCATTAAATTACTTTTGCGGTCTGTATAAAACGAAATGGCTTTGTGAATATATTTTTCATATTGACTCCTCTTAAAATCAAACGTACAAATAATCTCTACGAGAATAGCCTTCCTTACGTAAACCTCCGCTATCTATTATATATAGTCGATGAAATTACAGATATATCCTTTAAATAGCTTCATAGCTGAGCAAACAATAAATGAACAAAGGCCGCGCAAAATGGCATATCTGTCAGGAAGGTTAATCGTCTGGAGATGCAGCCAATGATCGAGCGGGCTACGAGGGAAAAATAGGCTGACCATCGCATCGTTTTACGCCATTACGAGGATTATAAATCAAAAGGGCGTTCAAAGTGCGCGATCGCATGCAGCGTCATCGTGAAAAGAGAGGGCGAGAGAAGACTGTTGGATGATCTGGCGCGCTAATGAAGCGAAACCGCCAGCATCCAAAGGACTATGATGGCTTTCAAAGCGTCCGCTAATCCCTGCCACGAGCAAACGAATCTATTTGGCTAGTATAGCTAACGAACAGCTTATACGTTAATTATGCACTGTGATGCTGTTCTTTTTCTGCGTTGAGATTTCACCCAGCGACTTCGGCATTTTCTCTACTATTGCTCGGATTAACAAATTTTCAGAAAGACTTTCAAGTATACTTTGGCGTTTATTCACAAATTCACAAGTATACATAAATTCATGAAAGTATCAAATGATTTCAAACTGAAAAAAGGGAACTAAATCGAAATATAACTCGAGCTAATTCGTGACGTTATAGAATTTTATAAGCTGCTGCAAAAAACTGTACAATTATAGTGTCTCAAGAGTCCAAGACTAAGAACAAATTTACCTTGTTGAACTCTAAAAACATCCTGAGCGATTGCACTGATCGAGCGAGTCGATTTCTCGATATTTTCCTCTCGTTCTTTTCCGGTGTTTTCCTCTCTCGCGTAAAAACCATAGGGCGCGTAGCATGTTTCGACATTGCCAGGAATGGTGGTGATCATTGACAGCTGCTGTCCTGCTTGGTTCTCGTATTTTCTACTTCTCGCGGCTGACCTAAGTTTCCTGCTCGTAAAACTTTTCAACCCTCGAGCATCTGTTACCTCGATAATAAGATCGGAAACAATTTCTTTCTATCCTCTGGTTTTCGCATGTATCGATTCAGCTTTAGATAGTAGCTCGATCACTCGTACTCTTTCACAAAATCTTCGATCAAATTTGATCGACACCTCGAGATTCAAAGAATTCAAAATCCTTTTGTCACACACACACACGCACACACACACATACACACATACAGACACGTATATCGGTCACGGAGGCTAGGGAACAATCATTCGGACGCATGCGGCTCGTCAGTGAGAACTGATTTTCTCGCGAACGATATTGAACGCTCTCGGAATTTTTTATATAATAGTCGTAATAAGTAGACTTGGAGAAAATAGAAGCGTGCATACAAAAAAAGCATGTTTATTGGTTGCATACACTGTTCCTTTTGATCACTTTTTCGTTGCTCTGCCTTGTTTATTAATCATTATCCAAAACAACTATTTTCCATTGCTAATTTATCAAATGGTTGCATCATCGGTTTGAGATGTCAGTTTTGTGAAAAAAGGAATCGATATTCCAATAAGGGAGCCGTAATATTTAATCGGCACATTGGATTAAAATGAAAACGATAATCAAAATGCCAATTAAAATGAAAACGCTTATCTACTAAATTATAAAATACAAGCCATCAAAATAAAGTTATTCGGATGGGGCGCTGCCCTTACTTCGTATTTATACAAAAGCCAGGATTGATTCATTTTACTAGTTTCAATATTACCGAATATTTTAGGATGAAATTGAATTCAATATGCTTACGCAATACTACGCAAATTCTATAGTATTGTGATCCATCATTTCAATAGTACATGTCGTGCCTGCAATGCGTATACGCATCGATTTCCATTGCTCGAGTACTTCGGCTCTCATTACATTGCTACTGGGATTGTTTATATATTATGGGATTATTTATAGCAAAGGGATTATTAATTATATTCAATGAAATCGTATCTTGTTATTAATATCCATCATTCATCAAGAATAACTAGGGATGTTCGTAAATCCAATCCTGCAATTAAAAGGAAGATTTTTGAAAGAAAATTCCTACAATAGCAAAACAAAAACGTAATAATAACGCGCGGTGAAGTAAAACGTTAATTATATTAGCTACGAACCGTATGTATCTATGTAAATGTCGAAGGAAAGGTATATTTGAATTCGCAAAGTTCGAGAGCGAGCGATTTCTCGTAGACGCAAATTTCAAGCCAATTCGCGCAATCCACAATCAGTTTGAAGGTTGAGGTGTCCTTACCGTACACTAAAAGTTCGAGTGCGAGAGAGAACATTCGAAGCTCATTATCCAGGTCAGCGCATATTGAGTATGTCTCTCGCTTCCAAACTTCTTTTTCCAGTTACACCGCGACCTTTCCCGTAAGTCTGCTTATTGCCTTTGATTAAGCTCAAATTGTTTTACATCAACTGACATACCTGTAATTTTTAACGTGAACCTCTTAGAAAACTGCGCAGTACAGGGTAATAATTGCAAGTTATCTACAGGTAGTGGATTTTATTTATCAATGCATTTATTATTGTCGCGAAGATGCAAAACTTTTGCGTTGCACTCTGGGGAAATCAGAAAGTTGCACTCATTGAGAAACATTAGGACATATCAACTTCGTGATAACGAGACCGAATATATAACACTTGTCCTTTATGAAATAGCAGAACCGTAGCTAATTAATTTCAACTTCGTTACTTTATCTACACCGTATATAACATTAAAAATATCCAAATTCAATAACATCGCCTTTCCGACTGTGTGTGTTGCAGGTGAACTAATGGACATCTTGGCGCTCATAAACTCGGCAATAAATTTCATCCTGTACTGCGCGATGTCGCGCCAATTTCGCCAGACGTTCAATCAATTGTTCTGCCAGTGGAAATTGTTTGGTCATTGGGTACCAGTACCTCAGCACGCGGAGAACAACAACGGCAATATGGCGACCAATCACACAGTCACCCAGGTTACTCACGTCTAGCATCAGCCCGCCCGACGTAACGTTTGCTGCTGTTGTTGCTGCTGAGCCGTGCCGCACAAAAAACAAGTGTCCCTATCGTTCTTTTTTTGTTTCTTCGTGAACAAAAAAAAAAAATTCCTCGCGTGCGCGATATTATTACTTTTTCAATATAACGTGCGATGAGAGTGTATAGTGGATAAATATGTTATATATGTGTGCGAGTGAGGCAATCCCTTTTCCAGTTGATGTTACGCTGTTTTTCATTCGTTAACTCTGGTTTTTCTTTCGGTTTTAAAAAATTTTCCACGTAAATTGTTCGTCATTTGCAGTTGAATAAAAAAACCGTCGAAAAATGTTTTGAAACAAAGGATGAAAAAATAAGAGTAACGATCAGCTTGAAATGCCAATGACATCGGGTGTGAGGGAATCCAAGGGAACACAGTGATGACGTGCTCCCCGATGGTAAGCGCAAACTAAGAAGCAGTCGTCGGGCAGATCTTTGTTTTCATTCTAGAAAGTAAGTTAAATAGCCAATGACCATTCTCCGCGAGATGAGATTAGTTAGTCGAGTGGCATTCGTTTTTTTCCCTCCTTCTCTCTCTCTCGCTACTGGAACTCGAGTTAACTCGCTCGTTAATCTTGTAAACCCCGTAAAAACAAACGAAGAATGGCTGTGTGCGAGCGAGGAAAGAGAGTGGATTCGTGATATGCAGATACGATTCGATTTCTTTTCCCCACGGCGAGCGAAAGAGAAGCAAATAAGCCTCGCAGCGGCAGTTAGACATTTCTCCGGGATGAAAAAGAAGAGAGGTATGGGGGATTTGAGAGGCTGTACAAAGGGAATTTCGTTCGTATATACGTGCGTACACGCAAGTGAACTGAGAAAATCTCCTGGCTGCAATTTCACCAATCCCCAGAAAAAAATAAAGAAAATGTCATCTTTGGCGATCAAAGTGAAGCGCCGCCAAAAACGTGTCCCCCGTGTATTGCGCGACGTACGATCACCTTAGCCAGGCAAGATGAAAACTCGTCTACGCAGGCGCAAGCGTCGTTTTTCTCGCTTTCGTCGAGCGCCAAGCGACGTAAGGTCACCCGTGGGCTTTATGTCCTTCCTCTGCCGCGTAGATCAGTTTGGCTGAAAATAGTCTCAGCAGCTCTGTTCACTTCCGTTTTCTATATTGCGGTTGCTCATCGCCTACGATAGTTTCTTATAACGTAGCGGAGAAAAACGCGCGTCGATAAGTTCAGCAAGCTCCGAAAGACACGCGACGAATGTGTTTTTCTAAGTTAGCAATTTTTCTTTGTGGCTGTGGCGGTAAATCATCTCTCACGCCCTGCTGTCCACAAAGTTTTTCACACGCCAAGAGAAAACGCATCGCTGTTGTTTGCAAACTATGCTAAGCATCGCGAGAGACAGAGGCAGCTGTCATCCTTGCGCGTGACACAGTTGAAAAAGCGTCGTCGAGTCCAGTCGAGTTGAAAATCGCACTGAAAGCTCTAAGCCGTTCAATTATTAGAAAAAAAAGATCAAAGGGTCGATCTTGAAAATACATCGAGAGAACATCGAGCGTCCATTATTTTCGCGAGGGTGAGCGATGCGCATGGCAACCGAAAAGTCGATTTGACAATTGAAAAAATAATGCGCACGGCAAACTTGGCAATCTCGCAGGACTCTACTACTCGAAAGAAAAACTTTAACTGCGCCTCCCACGTCACTTTTATTATCTCACGAGAAGAGGCGGACGACTCTGTTTTTCACTTTCCCAGTGGAGTAAGTCGGTAAATCAGGCGGCGAGCCACATTGAGCGAATGCATCTAAAGTGAAAGAAAACTCTTTTGCGCGAGAGACAAATAAGACAGAAAAAATAAGAGGTTATTAATGAAAAACTTATTGAGTCGCGTGCCCTCTCGAGAGCTTCGTTAATGAATACGAGAATTAGAGAGTAAGAAAGGAAACGATGTCTGTTGCGATGGAATAAGAGAGACTCTTCCGGAAATTCTAAAAAACGATTTATAGCCGATTAGATGAAAATAGTAGGAGTAAAAAAAGTCGCCGTTTTTTCTCTTTCCGTTTGACCAAAGTCGATAGATTCTTAAAAACGGTTCGTCTATAGTGTCGTAATGAATCATGCGATATGGTGCCTCCGTTCTTTATTTACTTTCTTCTCTGTATATTCATTTCGATTTTTTTTCTTTCGCTGTCCATTTCGCCTTTGTCGATAATTGTTTTATTTAGAAGACAATTTATCGAGAGCAAACAATATGTTTCAAAAAGAAAAAACCGCATAGATGAGAACATGAATGTGGCTTAGTGTGGTTGCGGCGTATAAAAGCGTAGCAGATAGCACCGACGGACTTGTCGGTATATCCAACCACAGTTATGCGACGTAACTTATGTGTGTCCAAGGGGTCAATAAAAAGAGCTACAAATAAAACTACATCTCTCGGATTACTTGTAATCGCGGCAATTGAATGAATTTTCGAAAAATGTTTTATACATATCGTTGCAAGTCGGTGTATTTGCAAGTCACGAGGACAAACAGTATTCTGGTATTCTTACAAAATTTTATTTTTTTTTCAAGTGGCACGCTATTTCAAATTACTCTATATTACAAAAAAGTTTTTATTTCAAGTGTACAACAAATTCAACAACCTTTCCTTTTTAATATTTCTCGTAATTGTTTATAAATATGAGCGCCAGTCTTTTTGTACCGATCTGTTCTTGACATATGTAATACAACGTATTCATTCTTATACAATTCCTGCAGCTCCTTTGTTGAAAAAAATCGCGTTGCTAAACTCGTGGCAGACTTGTTTGAAGAATAAACCCACTTAATTTAAGACCTTATTTTGTAGTGTACGAAGCTATATCAGACTGTCACATTGCCGACATCACGTTAAACTGATTTTAAATTGAAATAATAAAAAGTTTCAGGCGAGAGAAAATTAAAGTTGTCAGATTGGAATGGACTCAACGTAATGAATGCACGGGACGTTTCCTTCTACTTTATACTTCTGCTACTGTATTTGAATATACCATTCCACGTGAGCGCAATGTTTTCGAAAGAATACCAATAAATTGTTTATTCCACTTGAATTTCTCGTGCATAAAATGGATATTTCATGACGTCACGGGTTGAGCAGTTAATTTTCTCATACTTAAAGAAAAGCAGTTTATTTAGACGTATCCTTCGTAAAAAAAGGGGCAAATGAAATTGCAGCATAATAGCTATGAAGACCAACGCGTAAAGTCTCATAAATTAGCGTAAACTAAAGGCTGCCTGTATATAGAATTACGCTGAGCTTCGTTTCGAAAATCATAAGCGATATAATCCACGTGATATTTAAAAAGAAATAATCGTATAGCAGGAACTAATTAACGCGACTTTATACGTGAAGCAATTGAAGAGAGAGAACAAGAGTGAATGCACAATAGCACTTACGCTTTATCGATCAGGTATACACACGCAACGACCCCGTTCGTATATTATAAAGTGTTGCACGCGCGAGCATTGCGTAAATAATACCAACCTGCCGAATGAATGATAAGATGGCTTTTATTCGACTGCACTGTTGTGACTTTCATTTTTCTCATCTTCGACACGGTTGTTGTGGCTAGAATCTTAGAAACGCAGAACATATTCACTGAATTTGATATTTTTTTATTTCTCTGGATCTCTCAAGATCTCTTAAAATCATGCTTTTATTCGTGAAGTGCTTTTCTACGGAAAGTTTTTGATGCGCGTTGGGCGAACTTTGAAAAATAGAAAATATAAAGTGCGATTTTCATGTATATTTGCAAATTATATATCCTAAGCACAATAACATTTCATTTCCTCTCTGTTTCCGAAACTTATTCAAACGACAATACTATTTTCCACATTTCATAGTAAAATGTCATTTTTTTTTCTCGAGCAATAAATTCAAACAAATACGAGCCGCGGAAAATAATAGAGTCCGTGCAAAAAAGAATTTCCCTCTATTTTTTTCATCTAGCAGCAGCCAAAGCATCAAACTGCAACGCGACAGCTACAAAACAACTTCGACACAGTGCTTTTTTCAAAAAAGGATGAGTTGAAACCGTCAACAAAAAACAGTGATTGCCGAAGAAATTTTACGTCCGAACAAAAAACACAAAAGGAATAGAGGTATTCATTGACGAAAATTGCTTTCTCAAGCGCAGGCTCGATTGATTTTCTTAAAAAGAAATTTTTCATCCAATCAGCATTCAGCTCAGAGTTATAATACCGCGTAAGTTGATCGTGAATATTAAAAATAGCTCAAATAAGTTATTGCGGAGGATGAAAAACAGCAAGCAGAGATTATCAGCCCCTGTTCGCTAATTTAGTAAAATATTTCAATGTTGCTAAAGCTTTATGCGAAATGAAATCGTCAGCCTATTTAAGCTGGTTTATAAATTAAGCGGTTTATACAGGTTACCAGCCAAGAAGCCTAGTCTGATGTCACTTATTATTCATTCCACAATAAATTATTCCATTAAAGTAGGGAAAGGGACCCTCGGCTTATTCACTAAGAACGTAATGACAAAGTTACCATAAGATATAGATTCATTCAACACTATCCGTGTATCCGAACACAATATTTTATCGACCATTAGAAATTATCTCAATAGAAATAACAATCCCACCATAGATGGGCGTAGCATGAAAACATGCATTAATCCAAGGTATACATAAACACAATAGTATAAAAAAGAACAGTCAACTTTATATATGTGTGTGGGTTTGTTGTGCACACAAATACGCGACGTATGAAACTTCAAAGACGCGCGAATGCGCGCTTGGCAAAAGCGAGAATGTCGCTTAAATAGATTGAATTTTCTAGGGCAAGGCTTTCTCGTCGATTGATTTCTCTCTCTCTCTCTCTCTAAAGCGCGCTTTCGATAAAATATGATTAGTCTCGGCATTATAACAATAATACTAATCAGATGAATTAGTAATTCAATGAATAATAATCTATCCTATACATTTATTGTAATGCATCGCGTAGACTTTGATTTG